GCCAGGCATGGTGGTGCACACCTGTAATCCAGCACTTGGGAGGCTGAGGCGGGAGGATCGCTTCAAGTTCAAGGCCAGCCTGGGCTACATAGTGAGTTTGAGGCCATTGTGAACTACATAGGGAGACCCTGTCTCAAACAGAAACAAAACACAAACACAAACACTAAAATACTGGAGGTAGAAGTCAGGTGTGGTGGCACATGTTAGTGATTTCAGAACTCTGGGAGGCTGAGGCAGAAGGATCACAAGTATGAGCTGAGCCTGGGCAGCCTGACAGTTCAGTGAGACCCTGTTTCAAAAAGGTGGGTGGGGCTGGGCTGTAGCTTCGTGCAAAGGCCCTGGGTTCAATTCCCAGTACAAAAATACAATACTATATAATACAATACTGGAGGCAATATGTGCAACAGTGTGTATCTCTGGGTAATAGGACTTTTAAAAAATTAACTGTCTTGTGTTTTCCAAAGTTTCTGCAGTATATACACACGGCTTTGTATTTGCAAAAAAATAAATGACATCTCATAGAAGTTTCCATTTCTTTCCTTTTTTTTTTTTTCTTCATTTTGAGACAGGGTCTCACTATATTGGAGGCTATCTCTGAACTCCCTCTGTAGCCCAGACTGGCGTCAAACTCGGGACGATCCCCCCACCTCGGTCTCCCAAGTGCTGGGATCACAGGTTTGTGCCACCAAGCCCAGCACAGAAGTGTTTGTCAATTTCCATTGCTTCTCTTGCTGCGTTTTTTCCTATTTTGCAAATTTTGAAAATGTCCATAGTCCAATCACTGAAGGAGCTTTATGCCATTAAGTTCAGATAGTAGGAATATTTCTACTTCTTTTTTTAGTTGGGTTTTGGAATTAGAGTAATGCTAGCTTCCACGAATGAGTTTGGAAGTACTCCTTTTTAATTTCACTGTAGAGTTTGAGGACTATTGGTGTTACATCCTCCCTGAAGGTCCTGTAGAATTCGGTTAGTGAATCCATCAGGTGTTGTCTGCTGCTTGGTCTATGGAGTTCGGTTCGGGTGCTCGGACTGGGAGGGTAAGGCGTGGAATCACCAGGCAGACTCAGGGGAGGTTTCTGGAACGCTTCTGCTTTATTTAGAAAATGCACAGGCTTATATAGGTTATGTGTGGAAACCATGGGGGAGGAGCATGGGAGGAGCATTTGATTACATGGCACTTTCTTATAGGTTATGCAGATCCATACATTAGTGGAGAATATTGGGTGATATCTTATTGGCTAGACATATAGTGGGGTGATTTTTCTTGGGCAAGGCGAAGGAGTCACAGACTAGGGGTGGAGGTGTAGCCTTTTAGACCCAGCAAGTGGGGTGATTTTTTCTTGGGCAAGGCGAAGGAGTCACAGACTAGGGGTGGAGGTGTAGCCTTTTAGACCCAGCATCTATGCACTTAGGCGAGCTTGGTCAGCCTTAGCATGGTCTCTGAGCTTGCTCAGGAGACAGGAGTGTGGTGCACCTGGCCCAGCCAGGCTTGAACTTCGCCCATAATCAGGTCCTGGGCTTTTCTTAGTTGGTAGGCTTTTTATTTAAATTGCCTCAGTTTTATTATCTGCTATTGGGTTGTTCAGAGTTTTCACACATTCTCAGTTCAGTTATACTGAGAATTATTACTGAAAGTCATAAACATATTCTTGTCATTGCATTTTTTTCTGTTGTGTTCATGTATCTCTTACTTTGCCATGAAATGTCTTTATTTCTCCATCGGTTTTGAAAGATAAATTTTGCAGGACATCTTAGTCTGGGCTAGACGCTGTTTTCTCCTAAGGCTTAAAACCCTTCAGTACGTTTGCGTTGAAAAGTCTGATGTAATCTTAATGGGTTTATTTTTATGTGTATAGATGGTTTCGTGGGGGTTATTTTTCTTTTCTGTGACAACTTTTAAGACTGTCTTTTTCTGGGACATCGTGGATTTTGTGTATGATGTGTTGTGAGGAGTTTTTGTTTCATTGTAACTATTTGCATTCTGTAAGCCTCACTTACCTGTATGTTCTTTCCCAGACTGCTATGATTTATGTAAACAGTTTTGTTGTTGTCGTTGTTTTGGGTCCCGGGGATGGAACTCCGGACCTCGCACTTGCAAGGCAGGCAGTGGAACCACTGAGCCAAATCCCTGGTCCTTGCAAACAGTGTTTTAGTCCATGTGTTCTGCCTTCTAATTTCTCTCTAACTACAATGCTAGTAAGTTAGTCTTTTTAGCACCATCTCGTAAGCCGTTGGGTGAATTTTTCTTGCTCTTCCCTCTTTCAGGCTTGCTCCGAGTAGATCGTCATGTATTTCCACTTTGTCCTCAATTTCTGCAACCCTGTCTTCACATTTGTCATTTCTTCTCTTTGTGAATTTTATAGGATTCTTTGGCTGTGGAATTTCTGTTTGGCACCTTCTTGTGGAACCTATTTCTTTGGTGAACTTGTTTGTATTTTGAACCATTTTGGTCAGCTCTTCCAATGTTTAACATTTCTCCCACGAGCACGTTAGTCAGTGTATACAGCTGCACTCTGTTGGGTTACGTCCTCTTAGAACTCACTGTGTTTCTCTACTTCCTCTTTAATCATTTTGTACAGCCCAGTCATCTTCTGTTTGTTTTTCTTTCTACTGCTGCCCCTCGGGTCTGCTTTGGGAGAGTTGGGAGTCTCTGGAGGCATTTTGTTGCCTTGTTCGTTTGTGTTCCTGTGTGTGTACCAGGTGTGTGTGCACGCATGCTAAGGGTTGAGGCCAAATATAGTGAAGAGTATTTGTGTTGGTAGGAGGATCTCCTTTCTTAGGTTACATTTTCCAGTGATGTGTTCTTGGCTTTATTTTCCCAGAGCAATCACGTATCACTTCAACCTTTCAATCTTCAGTATCAGCAAAAAAAAAAAAAAAAAAAAATTTTTTTTTTCTTTTTTGCTCAGGTGTGGTACCATATACATGTAATCTCGGCACTCTAGGAGGCTGAGGCAGAAGGACCGCAAGTTGGAGATAGGCCCAGGCAACTTAGTGACTTAGCAAGACTCTGCCTCGAAATTTTTAAAAATAGGGCAGCCCACAACTTTTAGCTCCTGTTCCCTAACCACATGCCTAGACCCATGTCTAGATCCAACCCAATTAAACTGGATGTCGCGCTGCTTAATTAAAAGCAGAACAAAGTTTGAGCTTCATTTTGTATCCTTTGTTGCTATAAAATGGGTCAAATCTCTTCTCAGTTTTACATATAGATATGCCAATCATTTAGAGAGTGTCTGTCTAAAAGGTGGCAAATCCTGTTGATTAGCCTTGAATCTACATAAACTCACCCCGTGCATGACTGAAGACACCAGGATGGGCAATTTTCAGGGACACTCAGCCATACCTGAGAAGTCTTCAGCCAGGTCCTCAACTTGCAATCACTCGGGGACAAAACAATTTCCCAGCCATGAAGATTCCAGAGCTGAGTCCAGACACCAGGGCTGGGATAATGATCAACCAGACCACGAGCTCACCAGCCAGTCCTTAAAAGCTGGCCTCCACCTTTTTGGGTGGGTCGGTCTGAACCCCTGTATCGGAATGTGCCCTCTCCAGCTGCCTAAGATGAATTCCTTTCCTCTCTTCTCTCTGACTTTGCAATTAAAGCTCTGTCCCATAAAGTTGTGCCTTAGTTTAATTTCCATTATTACTAAAAACAAGAACTCAAACTAGCTGGCAACGAGCCTGTCGGACACCCTTCATCCCCATTCTTGCCATGGGCGTCAGAACAGAGTCTGTTCCTGGAGCTCAAAGCCCCAGGCAGGGGTTAGCACCTACCACACCACAGGCCATATGTCATTGTACCAGAATTTCCCTCCTCCCTGTTACTGGCCTCTAATCTCTCTGGGATTATGGTTTATAGCAAAAGTGGCATTTAAATCCCTGGCTATTCCAGGAGAAAACAAAATCCCATTTTTTAATGGGCAATGGGTCCTGGATTCTGCCCATTTCCCCATCCCTATGGTGATCCCTGACCATGAATAAAATGGGCTTTTATTTCTTTCAAAGAGAAGGAGGTCTACCAGTCTTGTGTCTAATCGCCTGAGTGTCCTTTCTGGTGAGGTTGCTGTTTACTGAGGGCTTAGTGGGCTGGGAGCTCCACTATTCAACCTTCTACTCCGTCTCCTCGCCCGCAGCCCTTCCACAGCTCACGGAAAGCTACTCTCAGGCTTTGGGCAGAGGGCAAGGCCGCCCACTCCTGGGGACACTCCCAGCCTTTCCCCTCTCCTAGGTTGTGGGCGGGCTCTGGGGACAAGTAGATGATGACTTGTTCTCTCGGTGGGACCCCTGGACAGATTCGGTGGCCCTATAGGCAGGCTTTGGACCACCCTATGTCGGGGCTGTGTTGTACCACGAGCAACAGGAAGGAAAGGGCGAGAGATATGCCTGGGAATCCCAGGGGACACCTGAGGAGGGCAGTAGATGGCCTCTGGCTAGCATTTTGGTGGTTCGGGGGCTTTGGGTATAGCACAGAAGTTATTCACCCTGAGCTGGAGGCTGGCCTGGGCCATACCCCTGCCCCATGTAAACTTAAGCGAAGTGCTAAGCTTGTCTTGCTGACTTTGGGTGGAAAATGGGAACTGTAGTGGTGCCAGCCTCATGGGTGGCCTTCAGGATTGAGGACACATGTCACGTCGGGAGCTCTGGCCTGGCGAGTACTCTGCTGATACAGGTGCCCCTTGGGGTGTGAGGGGAAGACCTTTAAGCAGGGAAGTCCAACCGCATGAAAGTGGGGACCTGTCCTGCATACTGTCCAAGGGTGGCTAACTACTGTGCCACTGGCTTTTGTGTGGGCACAGCCTGTGTGCTTGCTCCCTCCCCCATGCCCTGCACATCTCAGGAGCCCAGAACAGTCACTAGTCCCTGGTTGCCTTCCCTGGGCTGGTTTGCATCGCTGAGGGTGACCAGCTCTCTGAGACCTTCCTGTGTCTCAGAGGAGCTCATGGGGCAGCCCCAGACTCACAGAGCGTGACCTGTGCTTATGGGGTTCATTTGTGCAGAGAATGTGGACAGGAACACAAATAGTGCCCAGGACATTCTGGATAGAGTTCCTGGGCCCTACAAGAATCCTGCCAAGAGTGGGGCGCTGGAGGTCCCACAGGAGGTGGCTGTGGCTGAGCATTGCCTGGGTATAAAGGGGCAGGCTGAGGGGCTCGGACTACACAGCACAGGTAGGAAGAGAGGGATCCTAGCACTGTATAGGGAGGAGAGGCAGGAGGGGAAGAAGGGGCATCTGGTTACCCATCTGGAGACTGGATCTGGGAGCAGGGATGGAGGGGTTGTCACAATATGGGTCTCTTCCAGGACTGGCTGCAAACTTTGCGGGATCCAGTGTAAAGGGACAATGAGGGGCTCCTTGATCAAACCTTACGAAGGATTTTAGGATGGTGACACTAGGGCATTGCAGTAGGCACAGGGCCCTTTTGAGCAACTGCCTAGGTTGCAAGCACACGTTTGAAACCAGCTGTGGGCTCTTTTTTGTCTGTGTGTTTGGTTTTACTTTGTCTTGTTTTTGAGATAGGGTCTCGCTATGTACCCCAAACTGGCCTTGAACTTGTGCTCCTCCTGCCTCAGTCTCCCAGAGAGCTATAATTATAGGCATGGGCTACTAGGCTCCGTTCAGAGTTCTTCTTGAGCCTGGAGGGCTATAGGGAAAGGTTCCCAAATGTCCTCTTGCCCCACCTCCAGCGGTCTCAAGACCCTCACATCTGAAGTCTCCTCCCTATGTCGCTCCTGACCTAGGTGTGACTCCTGACCACCAAGCCTGTGCCCTGAGAGCCATGTTGCTGTCCCTCGCCCTGGCTCCCCTCTTAAGTTCTGCCTGCAGCGCCCAGGGTGAATCCCATGTGCCTGGCCCTGGCCTTCCCGTCCTGGCCTAGGCGCGACTGCGGAGTGGGAAATGGGACCCTGATGATGACTGTCCTGAGTGCATTCCTGTGCTCACCTTCCTGCTCCTCTCTCCCCAGAGTTAAAGGACCATGGCTTTGGCTCCTACTTCTATGTCAAGGGCGAAGAGCTAGGCAAGATCCAGGCCATCCGAGTCTTCAAGGGGATCTCGGGTCTCAAGAGGTAAGCTCTGTTCCCTGGGCTCCCCCAAGATCCCACTCACGCCTATGCCTTCTGTTTTCCCCGCTGGAGCTCCTAGGGGGCGTGCTATCCTTGGGTCGTCAACTCCCTCTTAGCTTCCTGACCTTGGATAGGGTGGTGCAGTACTCGGTTAGGCAACTAGAAAGGGTCTTCGGGTTCAGAAAAGATCAAGGAGACTTGGCAAATCCCACCTGTGGGTGGTTCTGGAGGCTTAGGGCCCCTCGAAATCATTCATATGAGTACAGCCTGCAAAGACCTCCCAGCCTCACGTGATTTTCCACAACTTTATCTCCCCTCACTGGTCCTTCACAATACCAAGAAGGGCCAATCTCTCCAAAAGGCCCAGGCTCGCCTGTTCCCACCACTGTCTGCCTCTGGGGACCTATCATTCTCTCAAAGCACCCTAATATCTCGGGTTAGGGTTGTCAAGTCTAGGGAAAAACAGAAACAAAAAACTCCCAGTTCAAGTGAAAGTTAGTGAATAACTCTTTAGTGTGGCCTGTGCAATATTTGAGATATAGTAATTCTTTTTAAACCCAGTATTTGTTAATGGAGCATGGTGATACACTCCTGTAATCCCAGCACTGAAGAGGCCAAGGCAGGAGGATCGCCCGAGTTCTAGTCCAGCCAGGCTACAAAGTGAATTCAAGGCCAGCCTGGACTACATAGCAAGACCCTGCCTCAAAATACCAAAACAAACACAAAAAATCAATATCTGCAACATAGTTGTACTTTTTAAAAGCAATGTTTGGGAGACAGTTACACTAAAAAAGTTATTCATTACTTATGTGAAATTCAAATCAAACTGGCAGCTCTGCTTTATACCCCACAGTCCTACTTGGGATGTATCTTAGCATGCACCAGCAAGAAGATGGGTTAGGAATAGTCCAGGAGACTTCAGGTCCACCTTTCTTCTGCGCCAAGATCTCAGCTCAGCCCTTTGGTAGAGCACAGTGACCAGGGCCCCTTACTCACATGTGATACCATCAAGCAAAGCACAGCCTAACTCTGATCTCAGCCTGGGTCAAGGTCCATTTCTGGGTAGGGTAGGAGGAGGCCTAGTCCAAGCGCGTTCAGAAGAGGAGGGGACGTGGCCCGTCGGGAGCGCAGGGTTACCACGGTGACTCCGCCTCTCCCCAGCGTCCAGCTGCGGGTCGGCGACCAGTGGAGCCCGCGCTACGGGGCTCCCGGCGGGCGCGCGCAGGAGTTCCGGCTGCAGGAGGGCGAGCGCGTGACCGCGGTGAACCGCAGCGGGAGCAACTGCATCAAGCACCTGCGCCGGACCACCAGCAGGGGGCGCCAGGCGAGCTTCGGACGCCCGATCCGTGTGAGGTTCGAGGTTCACCCCTCAGCCCCTGGCCAGCAGCTCCTGACTGCCAATGGCCAGCACTCCTCACTTTGCCTCTCGGGAATCGGCTTCAAGTTGGGGTTTGCCCCCCAGAAGCTGTCCGCCCGGGCACCCACTGTGACGCCTCAAGAGCCAACCACAGGCCTTGGAGAATGTCTCTGGCACGCGCCTTGCCTTCCCACTGAGTCTTCCCTTCTGGATAACCAGACCTGGCTGAGACCGGAAAGCCCCGGCTTGGATTCTGGAGGGGCCCCGGGCCAGGTCCCACAAGGCCACAGAGGCTCTGAAACCCCTAGTCGAATAAAGTGTCTGCAGCAATGCGCGCCCGAGTGGTCCACTGCCATCAAGAGAAGCAGACTGGGGGACTGGGAACCTGGAGTGCTGGCGCACGCCCGAAATCCCAGCACTCCGGGAGGGAGCACGATTGCAAAGGCGAACCCAGCCTAGGCACTTAGCAACTTAGTTTCAGAATTAAAAACAAAAACCATAACCTTTTCGTTGTTGATGTTGTTTTCACTATGTAGTTCAGGCTGGCCTCAAACTCACTGTATAGCCCAGGCTGACCTCAAACTCTCAGTGATCCTCCTGCCTCAGCCTCCTGCGTGCTGGAATTAAGGGTGTGCGCCACCATGCCCGGTTTAAACCCATAACATTTTAGAGGGTTTGAGATGTAGCACCGTGTGAAGGCTCTCAATCGCCACTATGGGGTGGGGGGAGCTTGGGTGTCCTCAAGCCTTCCTCCCTGTTTGTGCCCACAGCACTAAACTGTGGATTGCACCAGGACCACCTCTCAGTCTCTGCCGCAGGACTGGGCCACAAGTGCAGTATCTCGGGCAATACCATTTCAGAGCAGGGCTGGAGTGGGTGGTGCTTGGGGTGAGCTGCAGGAACCATGGAGGATTCCCCAGGACCACCCAGTATGGAGGAACTGTGGGACAAGAGACCCACTGTGCCATGAGTCCCGAAGTCCGCTCTTGAGCAGGCCGGTGCCTGTGACTCCTCTCCCCTCTGCTGTCCTGCACTGGGCAAAAGCAATGGCTTTTTAAAATCAACTTTTGTGAGCGTTCATGTCGCCACCACTGAGCTGGGCATGGTAACGCACGCCTGTAATCCCAGCACTAGGGAGGCTGAGGAGGGAAGATCCACATGGGTTCAAGGCCAGTCTGGTGGGCTGTCTAGTGGGTTCAAGGCCAGCCTGAACTGCATAGTGAAATCCTGTCTCAAAAACAAACATATTGCCACTCCTGGAGGCAATGGAAGGCAGAGTGGCCGTGCTGTCGACCTCCACCACCACAGCTGCCTGCCTAAGTCTGGATTCCCCTTGGTACTGAAAACAAAAGTCCCTTTTAGCAAGGCAGGCACAGGAAATAAACCAAGGGACAGAGCTAGCTGCCCAGCACGGTGGAGGAACTGGGAAGGGCCGAGGGAAGGTCCCCACCAACCCCGGTGGCTTGTTCTCTGCCAGGAAAGAAAGGGAACTGTACCACACTTAACCCAAAAATTTTGTTTTCTTTTTGCTTCCTTTGTCTGAGTCGGGGTCTCTTGCTCTCCAGCCCAGGGTGTCCTTGAATTCACAATCCTCCTGCCTCAGCCTCCCCAGAGTGCTGGGCTTCCTGGTGTGGGCCACCATGCTGTCCCCAGATGTTTTCTTAAGTGTCTTTCCACAAATATATCAGCTTTGATTATTAATACCTTTGATGGCAAATCTGACAATATCCGTCATTTAGAAGTTGTGAGTGGACATTTTGAGGGGCCTGTGACAACTATAACGTGTGGCAAATTGACAGGTGTTTGTGAGGTAGGTGAGGTCACATTCATACCAAGGGAAACACCAAGTTTCCACAGAGACAAAACAAAGAAGAATTTTTTTCCATCCCAGTTCATGGATCCTTGGGGTTTTGTACTCAAGGAGCATTTAAAATTAAATAAAAACCAAAACAGAAAGGAGAAATGTAAAATGTCCAGGTGTCTCCACGCAGAGATAGAAGGGGTGATTTGTGAACTCTTTGCTTTGGTCTGAGATTCAGGGCCCAGACTTTACAGCTGAACCCCAGCTCTGCCACGTAGGGGGTGTGACCCAGGACAAATTATTTCATCCTCGATGCCTCACGTTTCTCATTTTGCAAATGAACAACAGCAGTCCTGTCCTTAGACTGCTGTGAGCAGAGCACAGCGTGGACCCTTGTTTTCTGCTCGCTCTCTCTCTTTCAGTATTAGTGGTTGAACCTAGGGCCTTCACACTGATTCCAGCCCTTTTCTTATTTCTTATTTTGAGACAGGGTCACCCTAAATTGCCTGGGTGCCACTTGACTCTGGAATCGTCCGGCTTCAGCCTCCCAAAGAGCTGATACTACGGGCATGCACCACCACACCCAGCTTCTCCTGGGCTACCGCTTGGGCCCTCCTTCCTTGTCTGTATTTGGACAACTCTCCCTTACCCTTTAAGACTTGCTCGGCTCTTCCCTCCTCCAGGGAGACCCCCTGGAGCACATTCCCCGCTGCACCTCTGAGTAGATGCCCACATACAACATCCTGCATGAGCTCCCGTCAGCGCATCAACGCCACAGTGAAACGCAGCTATCTGGGCACGACAGGTCAGCCAGCTCCTCAGCTGGACACTTGGCCCCTTCTTTATTTCCAGTGTCTGGCGGTGCCTGGTGGCGACAAGGCCTTGGCAGATATCTGCTGAGAGAATGAGCCCGTGAGTGGCTCCCCCGAGGCTTCCCTCTTACACACTCGGGAGCCCAGAGCTGGGCCTGGCTGCTGGAGACCAGCTGGAGGGGTCTGGAGAGGGCGCAGGGGCAGTGGTGGCCTTGGAGCCTGACCCTTCGGAGTGTGGAGTTGGTCCCGAATCTCAGCAGAGTCACTGCTGCCCACCTCGGATTGGAGTTCCTGGGACTCCAGCAGCCCCAGCAGCTTTGGACCCTCAGACCCAAGGACCACGCCTGCACACCGTTCCTGCAGAAGCTTTAATTACTGGTGGATTCGGAATCCCAACTTGATCACCCCAGCACGAGCAGCAATCCCTACTCAGCCAGCCTCAGTGAGCGTACCGGTGGCCCAGCCTGAGGACTCGGCCAATTCATTTCTTCGTCTGTGAAGTGGCGGGTGGTGTAGTGGTTGGTTCCGTTTGTAAATTACCCCACCTCCACTCAAGCTTCTGTAAGCCAATGGGCCCGACCACGCCAGCGATGGCCTTGAGCACCTGGTCTGCCTCTGGGGGGAAGGAGAAGAACTGCTGGCCATCATTTTTCCCAAACGAGGCGCAGCGATTCTTGTTGGTGCACAGGAGCAAGTATCGGATGTTGATTTTCTTGGAGCCGTGGACCTCGGTGAAGTATTCGTCGTCGTCCAGGTTGAATTCCATGACAGTCCCTCCTTGATGGCCATGGACAACATCCCAGTATTTGCCTAGTTTAACCTGGACACTGGGAGAGAGGCAAAGCTTGGAAGGATTCAGGGCTTCCTGCGTCCTGATACCCAGGCCCTCTGGGCCTCAGACCTTGGCTCTGCACGCCCAGCTTCCGTAGTCTTGAACTCACTGCCCAGCCTCTCTGAGACTCATGTGCAAAGCGGCCACCATAGCCTTCAGGAGGGCTGGCTGCTGGGCCTCCCAGACCTGAGTCACTCTTAGGAGAGCAGGCCAGGTGCCCACCCACGGAGCATGGGTCTTCCCCAGGCACCCTGCCAGGCTCACCTGTGTCCTTTTCACCTTGGCACAGTTGCAGGGCCTTCCTGGCCTGACCTCACCCTGCACACTCTCTGTCTCCTTTGCTGTCACCAGCCCTGCCCGACTCCCTCTCCCACATCCCTGGGACCCCTGGGTACAGAGAGGGGACCTATTCCAGGCTTTGAGAAGAGATCACAATATTCAGGGAAGGCTTGGGCTTTTGGCTTCCTGTGTTCAGTCCGTGATCCAGTCGGACCCTCACAAGTGTCCCTCTTTGACCCTAACTAGACAGACCTTCCCCTGATTTTCCCATAGGTATTGGTACTGAGAAACCATCTTTTGTTGAGCTAAGTTTGGACTGAAGGGAGAAGGTAAGGAGAAGCATCTCAACTCCCTTCCTCATTTCGGTATCCAGGATCGAACCCAGAGTCTCCTCAATGAGTCACATCCCCAGCCATATTTCTTTTTGAGACAGGGCCTTGCCTGGGCTGGGCTCAGACCTGTGAGCCTCCTGCCTCAGCCTCCCCAGTGCTGGGATGACAGGCTTGTGCCACCACACCTGGCTAGCCACCCTCTTTGATCAAGCTGGGAGACAACAGGAGAACTTACAAGTGAGGTCAGGAAGAAGTTGGGCTATGTACAAGAGAGGAGATAGAAGATGGTGGTTGTTGGCTCCATGATTCTAGGAATCAAATGGCCTGGGAGTCACCAGGAGCCAGAGGCGGATGTTGGGAGAAGAGGGTATAAGTGAAAGCTCCCTGGAGTCCCAAAGCCATGGGGAGAATGGAACATAGCCCTTCTATGGTCCCAACCCTACTCACCTTATAATGTTGCCAACATAACTCACAGCCACCCGAATGGCCTTAATGGCTGCCTCGCTGCACATAGCGGTGCTGAAGGAATTGTCAACTGTTTAATTGAGCATGGATGAAAAGAAGGTGGGAAGAAGCCATGGTCACACAGGGGTCTCTGCCAGAGCCATGAAGCCCACCCTGCAGGCAGACACAGAGGTCCTGTGATCAGGCTCCGTCTGCGACAAGGGCCAAGGCTAGTCCCTGGTTAGAGGGAGACAGGTCTGAGGGGTAGACCCAGGCACACTTACTTCGTCCCCAGCAGGTGGGGCTCACCAGCAGGGTGAGGGTCAGCAAGAGCAGCATGGCTTCCGGCTGGTGTATCAGGCTCTGAGAAGAGGAGAAGCTGCACGATTCCCAGGGGGGCCCACCCAACCTGACCCGGCCCACCCATGCAGCAACACCTTACCTGGCTAGGAGAGTTTGGGCTGAGTCTTGTGCTCGAGCGCAGTTCCCCTGCTCCTTATATACTCTTGGGCCCTCCAGGAGGAAGGAGCCAGTGGTCACTAGGGGGCCAGGAAGGAGCTGCTGGTGGGGGCTCTTACTGGGGGAATCCCCACAGTCCACCCTGGGAGGTTCCCGGATGTGCTGTGTTTGTTGTATTGGTCTTGCAGCCTACAAAAACAAGGTTGGGGACAGAAACAGGCATTTTGCTGTCACCTCTGGGTGTTCTTGTCAGCACCCGGACTGACCTTTTCTTCAGAGGCAGGAGGAGGTTTACTCAGAGCCTTTCCCCAGCCAGGTTGGGCAGCTTTCAAGCCCTGGGATGCCAAGGCAGGTCTCCTTGGTAGGGCTGTGGGCTTGGGCCTGCCCTGGCAGAGCTGAGCTCAGACCTTATCAGCCTGGGCTGTGTGGGTCTGTCAGGCTTTTCAAAGGCCCGGGCCCAGCTCCCTGGTGATGCCAGAGAGCCGGAGTACACAGTCTCGTTGCGCCCTGTGCCAGAGGCAAAAGACACCCGAGCTCCCACCCTCTGTCTTGTCACTCGGAAGGTCTCTGTGGTCTCTCCACACTGGCTTTGGGCATGGTGGGGGCCAAACTGTGTTAAGGGCTCAGAGGCCATGGGGTAGAGGAATACTCAAGGTGTGACTGGGGTTGTGATGTGAGGCCGAAGATCCAGAGAAGCGACTTTCTCTACCAGCTCTTCTGCGAGTGCCTCAGGGCTAAGCTGAGAGTTGCCCCCTTGTCTAAGGAGTGAGTGTTTCTCCGGAGCTTGGGTCCTGGTTCCCAGCCCTGGTACAAGTACCACCTGGCCCAGGTCCCACAGCCCTTCACCCACTTCTGTTCCTATGAAACCGGTGTCCCTGGTTCCTGGTGAGGGACAATCTGTGACATACAAGTCCTTGTATGCCCGGGGGTGGGCAATCTATGCCCAGCGGGCCAAAGAAGCCCACCATCTGTTTTTGAGCTAAGAGTGCCTTTCACGTGTTCAAAATTGTTAGAAATTTTTCGGAAGAAGATTTTGTGTCACGTGAGAGTTTTATGAGACTCGCCACCATTATCATTGTAGCAGCACAGTAGACGTGTGCAGCCCGTGGCTGCTCTCGGGCCACATAGGCAGTGCTGAGGGCACGTTCGGAGGTGTCCAGTCCTTGGCCAAGCCTGCTGACTTCTGATTACCAGGGAACAAACAGGGCGCTGTCCATGGTGTTGGTAGACTAGGGAGAAGGAGTGTGCTCTGTTCAACACTGGCCTCCGGCCCACAGCTGCCCTCTGTTCTGGCCTGTACTGTCCGCCTGGGAGGCGCAGGGCCCCGGCCTCACTGACACGGCAGAAATGAGCCTCAGCTGCCTTCCAGCCTCCCACACCAGTCCCTGGGAACCTCGGGCCTGCAGACGAATCGGAGGCTTAGCAGCTCAGGGCAGATGACACCTCAAGGGCTCCAAGAACTGTCAGGGAGGTGGAGGAGGAAGAGCCTGTGCCCCTGGTGGGGCAGCCTTGAGGCAGGAGCACAACAGCAGCACAAAGGAGGATTGTGTCCAGCTCAGCCCAGCCCAAGGCCCAAGGCATTTTTGCAGATTTGCTGCCAGCTCAGTGGCTTTTAATCCAGGCTGCCAAGGTTTGGCGCCCAGAAGGATGGTCTGTCTGGGACAGGACTCCAGGAAACACCACCGGGGTGGAGGTGATTGGAGAAACAGACAGCTACCAGCCTGGCTGCAGGGGACAAGGGCACTGGCCAACTGCACCCGAGAGGCACATGTTCATAGAGGTGCACGGGGTATTGACGGACAGACAGACAGGCAGACACAGACGCACACTATACACGCACACCCATGCACTTGGAAAGCATGTGTACCTGCTCCCAACCACACACAAGCTTGCTAGGCAGCTTCTGCACTCGAGCAGAGTGCGTGCACACGCTCACTGCGCGCAGGGGTCAGCGGGACCAATCCTAGAAAAGCCCGTCCACACCCATCAGCCACCTAGGACAGAGTGCTGGCCCTGAGCCCACACCCAGGCTGCTCAACACAGGCCCTTTGTCCCTCCGGATCAGGGCTCATCCAGAGGGGGATTTACTGTGCATGTTTCTAAGTCCCGGGCACGCCCCAGGCACCACTCTGCCAGGAGAGGGAACAATAAGGCCCTCTCCTCCCGGCCAGGGTGGGCCCTGAGCTCCCTGCCCTCCCAGGGTCAGGTGTGGGGGACGCCTCTGGGCCAAGCAGATGAGAGGATCTCCAGCCGCAGCCCACTCGGAGCCCTCGGCCTCACCTGGCTTCCCGGCTTCGGTCTTGGGCCATCCTGACAAGGCTGAGACTCCTCATGAGTCCTCCACACGACCTCAGCCCATCACTGGAACTTTCGGACTTAGGGACCTGCTGGGCGCAGGACGGGAGCGATCAGATGCCAAAGGGCACCTCCGTGCAGGCACAGGCCTTGGCCTTTGTGCACAGACTTGCTCTCGAGTGGCTGCTGCCTGGGAAGGTGGTTTCTGAAGGAGAAGAGCCTAGGACTGATGGGGAAGGGACTTCAGCTCTGCAGCCCTGGAACACTCAGCTCTCCACACTCGTTTATCCTTTCACATTCGTACTGATGCCACGCTCTGTGCTAGGCGTTTCATCTAAGATTGTCCCCAGAAAATTTCTTTACACTTTTATTGGAAAGCCAGGACACCTAACCACGTATATTCCCTGATGTTTTACCTAATTAAAATCCCATTAGTTAAAAATAAACTAGCTAGGCATGTGTGATCCTAGCACCCTGGGAGGCTGAAGCAGGAGGATCACAAGTTCGAGGGTAGGCTAGCGCAACTTAGTGATTTAAGGAGACCCTATCTCAAAATTTTAAAGAGGAAGGGAGGAGGAGGAAAAGGTGGCTGGGGATGTAGCTCAAGGAAAGGCTCTGGATTCAAACCTTAATTCCACCAACAATAAATAAACAAAAGTGTACCTAAGTTTCCAACTTAGGGAGGCAGGATTCCAGGGCTGACTTTCCAAGGCTGCCAGGGTACGTGTTTGTTACTTGATGCCTCTGAGCTCACACTCTCCTGGCGAAAATAACACAGGGAGACTGTTTTAAACAATAGCCATTTATTGCTGGAAGCTGAAGCCCAAGATCAAGGCTCTAATAGGTGCGGTACTTGGTGACAGCTGCTTCCTGGCTTGCCAACAGCCACCTTGTCCCTGTGTCCTCATGTGGTGGGGCGAGGAGGAACGTGTGCAGGGTGCTCTGGTCTTTTCCTGTTCTTGTAAGAAACCTAAACCCATCCTGGTGCCCCATCCTCGTGACCTCATCTGACCCTAATAACCTCTAAGGTTTCCTCCTCCTAATACAGTCACAATGGGGGCTGGGGCTTCAACGTATGACTTTGGGGGCCACAAACATTCCTATCCCAGGTGGTCTCTGGGGGCAGCAGGGCCAGCCCCACACAAGGCACCCACTCCGCACCTGTCTGGGGAGACCCCTGGCCCTTCGGTCCTTGGTATTCGAGGGCTGCAGCCAACCCAGGAGTTGGGAGTAAGGCATTTATGAGGAGGAGAGCCCTGAAGTTAAGGGCTGAGGGTATCTGGCTGCGAGCCTGCCTTTGATCTTTGATATGTTCCTCTGATGTTCCCTCTGGGCCCTTCTACCTCCACTCTGATGTACTCAGATTTATTATTTTTTAAATTTATCGTCATCATCATCATCATTATTATTATTCTTTGTTGTTGTTGTTGTTTTTTGCTATGTAGTCCAGGCTGGTCTTTGAACTTAGTATGCAACACGGACTGGCCTCCAACTCCTCCCTCTCAGCCTCCCGAGTGCTGAGATTACAGGGGTGCACCACCATGCCTGGCTACGAATGTACTCAGGTTTAGAAAAATCTTTAGATTTACCTTTCCCTCGGCACCTCACACTGCCTGGGACACACAGGTACCTGGGGACAAATATCTACTCCCCTCTCCCCATGGCCCCTGAGGCTCTCTGCCCCCATGACAGGTCACCAGCTGCTCTGTAACGGGGTCCACACTCTTCTTGTCACCATCCCAGGGCCTCCACCTCTACCTGTGTCTCCGTGGCTCCTCGGTCCCCCGCTGCCCATGCCTCAGCACTGCACTGCACCGGCCCCTCCTGGGACCCAGGAAGATAACTTGGTGAACTTGGTAACAAAGGTAAAGCTGTTTTTGTTTCTGAAATGCTTTCTCGCGCCCACACCGCCTCCACTCCTCTGCCGATACCATTGGCCAAGTCCCCAGACACAACTTTGATAGGGGCCTGGGCTCGTCTCCTTTCCTCAGAACCAGCCGCAGGGACACCAGTCACACCGGGACCCCAGACTCCATGCCCTGGCCCAGTCCTCCCTCCCTCCCATTCCCATTTCTGCTTTCTCCAAGGGACCAGAGAGTGTGAACCCTGCCCCGTGCATGGCACCCGGGAACCAAAGGGACACCGCCCTGTGGACTGAGGCTCTCTTTGCTGCAACAGAGAGATCCTGGACCCCGGCTGAGCGGTGTGGACCTGGAGGACAAGAGGACAGCAGGAACAGCAGCCCTGCTCCCAGGTTTGGGAAGCCACGATGGACCCCCAGGCTCACAGGTGAGGGGGTGACATGGCACAGGGTCCAGGAGTGGGGACCTTTGGCTGAGTGCACAGTTGTGGCTGGTGTCCATCCATGGGGCCACATTTGAGACCCACATGCCTGCTGCAGACCATTTTCTAGGAACATACCACCAGCCACAGGAGGAAATGAGCCGTTATACCTGGTCTGGCTGGGGACAGGGTGGGGGACAGCAGAGCAGCAGGTCCTGCATGGGGCCACACCCAGGTTGTAGGGGCGTCCAGCTGAGGGACCTGTCTCTGCAGAGGCAGACAGGACAGGGAGCATGAGAGAGCCTCCCAAGCACCATGTGGATGGAGCACAGTGCGGGGTGGAGCGGTAGGGTCAGCTCTGTGAGACACAGTAGCACTGGGACAGGAGAGGGGATGCTCAGTGTCGGCGGACCTTGTTCCCAAGGGTTTCTAAATCTCTTTGGGAGTGACATGGGGCAGGGGTGAAGAGTGGGACCTCAATGTGCATTGTAG